GATAGAACAACAGCTTACCCTTGAAAGTAACATCTGACACCCTTTTTTCTCCAGCTTCGGCTTCAAAACCTTAGCTCCTTCCGTCTGTCTGTGTATATGTTTGTCTGCATATCTTCCAGTGGCTGTGGTGTTCCCTGTAATTGAAACCACATGGAGTGTTCGCAGTGAATTCTCACTACCCATCAGCAATGAACAAAGCACTGAGACTAAGTAACGACTGCTCGTGTTATGGATGTTTTGACCTAGAGAATGCAACTGTCTTTAAGTTAAGGAAAGTACTCGCCTATGAGTTAGCTTGCTGCGAATCAGAGCTTAACTCTGATTTTGCCCCNTTGCCCCCGCAAAATACTGGCATCATTTAATTTGGCCCTCCGTCTTTCACACTCACAGCCACGTATACACAATGGTGTCAATTTATCAAAAAAGCTTTTCCAAGTAATCAATTGTTTATAATTTGCTTTGCTTTTATTTTCATCCGGATTAATCTGCGAAAAGTTTTTTCTGGTTGTCGTCTTACTTGATGTGTCTGTATAGCTCTGCAATTTGGGCGTATAACTAGAACACACACCACATAGAGGAGTAACTAGTGTTCATTTAAGGGTTCGAATCGTACCCCAGCTCCTGACGTTTTCGTAAATCCTTTATTTTCGAAACTTAAAATATTAACATATTAACATTAGATTCATGTTATTTGTTTTTTCTTCTTCAGCATCTCGCCGCTAAAGTATAGTACTTTAGGGTACATTTCTCCTAAAATGACAACACGCCTTAAATCTCTTGTTTTTCTGATGAACCAAAAATTCGGTATCTAGCGTCCTGTTCCATTATTTTATTACGAATTTTTCACGTTTCTAGCGAATATTAGTTTTCGGACGTTTTGTGCGTCTCCCTATCTGTATTCAACAGGATAATCGGCCAAAATATGACAAGGTACTTGTTGGGAAGTTGTTGGAAATCATTTGCGATGGCTGTAAAGCTGGTAAGTAAACTGTTCTCGTTCTTTTTTCTATAATTTTTTTTTCAGTCTCTAAGTTTCCAATACTTTGACGAATTTGTCTTGTTGTCATGTGGCGCATTTACACTTAGAATTCTTCCTGGCCACTTTACCGCACATTACATGTTAATCACTATTCATATTGGAGATCAACGTCTGTTTGTCTTAGTAGTATATTGTTATCTGATCAGAGTAGTAGTCTCATCTCTCGTCACCAAACCGAGATTTTTGTCTTATTTTCACCCAGTATAAGGTAATCCGATTCGCACCAACGTATTAGGTGGTGATTCTGCTGTTTCATTCAAGTCCATGCCCCCAGAGGAGTTAGAGTAAAAATCCCATCGACTGCGATCTGCTGAATGCAACTGAAACATAATAAGAGGACAGAAGTTAACCTAATTGATATCTAACTTGCAACTTTATTTGCCCCTTATTCGATCCATCTCATTTGGCATACGATCGCGGAGTTAGACAGGATTTATATTTTGATATTCGGACGACTAATTGGTATTTATACTCATGACCCTGTTTAATTCTTACTTTTTCTCAAACTTTGGTCCCATTGCCCCTAAGTATGCTGTGCATCTGTGCGGCTCAACTAATATTTTGTGATCATGCTCTGTGGATGTTTTAAAATGGATGTGGTCGTTACAAAATTCCAAACCCTTATTTTACCGTGTTCCCGGATAGCTTTTAATCGACTGCAAGCTACGTCAAGAAAACTAACTGGTATTTCCCGTTGTATGAATAGTTGTCTTCTAAATCACAGTGTTCCTCAAGAGTACGTCCTACAGCATTCAATGGTCCTGGAAATTAGTTGTCGAGCTTCTGCCTGGATCCAGAATCCTTAACTCTGATCACTCTGAGCTCTGAGAACATTGCTACAACAATTCTATGTGGTATATATATGTATCCATTATTCAAACCCTTAAGGGACACTGGATACACTACTGATGAACTAGCGGGTGTGAGTATGGAATCTGAAGGTTGGTCAGTCCAAGTGAGTATACCTTTGTGCCAAATAAGTTATACTACAAAAATGCGTACAACAAAGAAATTGGTCTACCATTCTCTCGGGAGCATAATGCTGTCAGGTTAGCCAGGCTCGAAATTGGTGAACTTTTTCGAATTCCTGACTGTTGCTCAAGGTTAACCGATAAGGCAGCAACTCTGTGCTAAAAACGCAGTCCTTTTGAGGACTGCGTCCCTTCAGTCCGATCATACGATCTCGCGGGGAGGTCCGGTGTGGCTTATGGGTGAAATGAGGTGATAACGGTGGCAACCAAGATGCCCTCGAGTCAGTTCGTAGGTTCAAAATTACGGTTATCCGGCTCCCCTCGATCAGTTGGCTATCTGTGGCTCCTCCACCTGGCTATTAGTCTAATACCCTTTCAGAATAATGAAAATTCTCGCCGCTGAAAATCAGTAAGTAAGAAAAACCTCTGAGAAATGCTTTTAAAAGCCCACTCCACGGGTGCATTTCATGTGTCGCGAACGCGACCTCTCTTCACATCAAACAGTCTCGTTTTGTGGAATTCATATGATGATAGACCGTCTGGCACTTATGGTGACTCGATATGGGTTGTGCTTTGCGATTCCGAAATTCTAGGTACTCATTTAAGTTCAACCGGATCCTATGCGTGCTATTATCTTGGGTAGTGAATTATTGGAAGCCATTCATGACAAATTATCCCGAAAGGTGTATCACACAGCGGGAGAGTGGGTGAGATTTTCCGGAAGAGTTGGAAAGATCCACCTGGTCTTCTATAGTTTAAGTCATGCTTGCATGACATTGCGTTGCTTTGATCGATCGCATGTACAGCGTCAAAGATCGTGTAGAGTCGCTGTATAGATCAGAAACCTGTGTAATTCTTGCTCAAGAGGTTCGGCGGTTAATTTCTTTCCATAACTAAAATCTTGTCTTAGCTGCTCGCATTTGGTAGAACCAACATGTGATGACCAATAAAAGTCTACTCTTGGCGAAGCTATATGCTATGGAGTGTGTCCCCAAGTCGCGGATAAGAGAAAGGCCATGCGGTCGTTTAATATTGTGTAGGTAGGGATCGTCTCATTGAGTAAATAGTTGCAGTCTATTAGTGGTAGCGCCAAGGATATGATCGAGTAAATGATCTCTTTGCAACAAAGGAGACAGATGCCACCGTGGTGCAGCATGAAGTGCACGAATGTAATCTACTATCAAATAAAATAATGTAAAGTTTATAGGTGCAGCGTTGAAGGAAAAAGCGGATTGCTATTTCATGATGTACTCGTAAGATTCACAAGGCTGAATCGTTTTCACATAAAGTCACCCAACGGTGCTTGGTGTTACCACTGTGATACCATGTTCGTTATGGGCAATAAGATGAAGAGAATAGCCCTAGTATTCTCGCAGCATATTTTGACCTTTTTCACTGCATCAATTTTGCTTAATAATTAGTTCGTACAATACTTTTTTTAGACAAAGAAAAAAGTCACCCGCTGGATGTGTTTTGGTAACACGTGATTTGTTTGTCGATCGATCGATCGCACCTTTCAAGGAGCTTGAACTGCAAATCTTAGCAAACCGGATGCCGGCATCACTCGTAAAAGAAACACCGCCACCCTCTCATTACAAACCTAGGTGCATTTAACAGTTTTGAAGTCAATGCTTTACAGTCTGTATGGGCAGATCCGAGAACCGGTTTCACAATTTTGACTGAACACATTCCGGAGTGTCTTTAGGAAACCCTGAACGGTAAATTCAGAATAATGACACCATCTGCCGAATATATACACCTGAGATCATCAATTACTCATCCTTCGGATGATAGACAGCCTAAGCTGTCATTGTTGTTCTACAGTAAGTGGTAGTCAGTCACAGTTACCACTTTGCAAGAAGGGGCTTGTAATCTAGCTCTCTCTTAGTGCACGACGTTTCTCTATCCGGTGTTTTGCTGTGTGATGGTGAACGCGTGTAATTCGGCCTTTTGTGTTTCTGTTATCTAGTCTTCTCACGCCGGCGATTGCTTTGACAGTAGTGTGCATTTTGTCAGATACACCAGATGCCCTGAATACAATGTGTAAACCAGTATTCTTGCTTTTTTATTTTGGATTTCTGTCGGGGAAAAATTAACATCTCTTTTTACTTTGTTGTCTATTATATATTTCGAATTCTGTATTTGGTCCCTATCGGGGATATTCCCTACTATACACCTGATCGACTTGATCCTTTCTGGCTGTTATTTTTCCGCTTGTTTACCCACATTATAGGCAGTCGAGTTCGATTGATAACTCTGCAGGTCACAATGCAGCTGTTGACTGAGCTCGTTTGTGATGCGACATCTGGATGCCAGCTCTCCGACGAACATTTCGCCCAAGTAATCAGTGCTCGGGAGGAGGCGATGATGGTGCTACGTAGTTATTTTCAGGTCTGTTTCTTTTGAGGATTATTTCAATGTGTGACTAGGCCTGTGTATGGGAGAAAGTCGCTGATCAGGCTTAAGTTTCTTAGCTTGTCGAACTTCTGTCATTTCTTATCTACAGAATGTTTCAACTTTTATTTACCGAATCCTTGCTATTTCGACACCACCTGCTCAGCTACCGTATATCTAATCACGCTTGATCAGAATCCACCCAACAACTCAGCTGACCTAACGCTTTCTATGCGCTAATTTCTGTCGACGACGGTAAATGAGGAAAGTTACATCTAAATGACAATAGCACATGCACGCTTGCACTAAGAAGCATATGCTCTCATCCCAGTTTTGGTTCATGAATTTCGCTCCCCGTCCCCGTTTAATTCACTTAGATTATCATTTCTCCCCCCCCCCCCC